CCAGGAGACCGGACTTCGTCTGACCTCTACCCATTGACCTTCCAGGCATGCTACGATCTCCTGGCTTGATAAAAGCCATCCCGTATAGCCCGGGATCAGAGAGGTGCCTAAGCCATCACACCACGTCAAGGTGCAGTCTGGTCGTGATGTGTGATTAAGTCTGTGCCAGATTATGATTATTGTCCGGACAATTTTTGGAAACGCCAAGAAACGGGAGGTCACTCATCCGATGAGCTACAAAGCCATACAAACGGCTTCGGTCGCAGATTATTAAACTAACCTTCCAAAATATGTGGACGTGACTGGTTTCGTTTAAGCTACCGGCAACAGTAGGTTTTCCCTGGACTCTCGAATTCGTACTGAGGCTCAGCGGCAACCTCGCTGTGAGTGCTTTCCAACACATGACACTTAAAATTCTGTGACACAAATTCTGTTTTTGTCGTGATGATTTATACGATACATTCAGATGTGAGCAGTATCTAAGTGAAGACGCGCATACAATCAGTATCGTCTGGGGAGCGGCTCATGTATTAGATGCACAACAAGAAAAAAGGCTTCAGTTTTCGTTTGGTTGGTCACAATAGTTTTGACTTTATTCACACTGTTGTTGGACAGATTTGAATTTTTTTTTCTGTCGAGATTGTGAAAAGTTCAGTAGCCTCGGTGGGATTCGAACGCACTCATGGACGTCCACTACGCTTTTGCACTACAGCGCCCAATCAAACTGTCAACCGAAGCTGCGTAACACAAATTGCGCACCTTTCCCACATTATCTAATCTGCTCGTTCTTCTTATTGTTTTCGTGATGCGCAATGTCCAATAATAGGTTGCATCGGGCACAACGAAACTTACTCTTAATTGACATTTTCTTATGATAAACTGCCGGTTTTAGTTGTCAGAACATGTGTTTGAATTGGATTATGTACTCCCCGTAGGAAATTTTTGAAACTGCTTTCTGTCCAAAGTCGGTTCTTCAGCAAGTGTTCTCGATATACATATTTTCTCTAGTTCACTGGACACGAATCACATTTGGTAAGGGAATCACAAGCGTTTATATATAACCCTAAACCAATCAGATTGTTCGACTGGCAAAATTAAAGTCTTACACGGACCAATCATAAAAACACAATGGATGCAGTAAGACAAACGATCAATTCAAACAACACTC